AGGTTTGAGTCGTCTCCATAATGGACTAATGTGCACTCGGGGTATAAATATGAACCCCCTAGCATTGTAATAAGAGAGACAATCCAATACAACTTCGGCACATTGCCACCCTTTTCGCTTTTTACTTTTCGACGAGTTCGCTTCGCAAGAGGTAACCCGTCTCGATGGCTTGTGCTATCGGGGCTATTATGTTGTTTTAGATATCTTAGTCCTTGTTTCATGACCATTGTTTTCATATGTTTCTATTAATCTAGTCTTAGCATATTGATTTAGCTCTATCGGTTGCTTCTCGCTTTAGGGTTTCTACCGGTATCGGCTAAATCGTCTTGTTAGATTAGATTAGTTTAGATATCTACCACCCTGAAATCAATCAATGGCTTGATTGTCTAGATATTGTGTTTCTTTTCATACTTAGTGCTGCATCAATACATTCAACCTACTAAGTCGTGTTTAGAACCATAATCTCTAGCCTGCTTCTTGATTGCTAATAGGGGTAGTATCGGGGTTTCAGCCGATCTTACCTAATATGAATACTTCTTTGCTAAGTTTTATGTATATTTGCCACTTATATAGACATATAACCCTATATAGTTATATCAAGCTAGATCGGTATCGGCTGGGTTACCTAAACTACTAACTGATCACAGTTCGATATATTTGTATAGATTGATCTGTCTGTTCAAATCTGTACTAGAGTATTAGCTAGTACATTATCTTTATTTATCTTTCTTGCTCTAAATACTATTGCATTGGCTATTCTCATGATATTGTCTTAAACTTCTTTATTAATCCTAATAGACTGTATTACAGCTGATGAGGCATATTTAGGGTTTAATATTCTTTGATATATCCAATCCATAGCCGATTTGGTCTAACTCCATCGGCTGAGACCACCAATGATACGCTATCGGCCGATTGGCGATCGGCTGACTAACTCTGTTTTTGCCTTCCTAGCTGATTGCGGGATCAAATCAGCTGGCATGCCCTTGACACACTGAAGGCTAGCCTTGGACCTGGTCTGGAGTTAAGCAGATCTCCCAGGCTGGTGTGTTTTCACGTCAACACGCTTTTGGCACACCCTGTGGGATAGAGTTTCATTGTTCAATCATGCCGTCACCTTCAATAATTAATGTTGTTGAAGAAAACATCATCCCTGCTACAGTTGAAAATCTAACTTATGAGCAAAAGGCAGAGCTGGAACAAGTGATGCAACAGCTGAAAGAGAAATACCTTAAGACCTTTTTTTGTAACCCAGCAAGGAAAGGCAATTCAGAAGACAAATTTCCAAATGCCAGGCAAGAAGGAGAAGGATCTGGGACAAAGAATGTCAAGACTGAGGGAAATCAAGAGGATGACGACGCCAAGGATGGTAAATTTAATCCGGTGACTTTCCAAGATCATGTTGATTCAGCTATGTATCACGCATTAATCAATAAATCCGGAGTTTTGGTCAATACATTGTCAAATTTGATCAAGTCAGTGGTTGATGGATCAATTGCTGAGGAAAAGACAGGAGGACCAATCTCTTTTCCAGGAGGTGTTTTTCCCAAGTATAGAGAAATCAAAACTAATATTGGGGGTGGTCAGCCTCAAGGAAACCTCATGTCAACATCAGGATCATTGTAACAAAAGCAACCACCGGCATCAAGGACTTTAGGACCAAGCATCATGACACCAGAGCAACTGGCTCAATCATTCAAGATAACACAACCTTCTAGGACTACCATCAGCTACCTAGCCGATTACAACCCAGCCGCCATTAGTTCCTCCTCCACAGACTCAGCCGTCTTCACACCAGCCGATTGGATCTTAGACGATCAGCCCATAGTACTGCAACATGGACCCTAATGCTTTCCAATATCAACAAATTACAGGGTTCAATTTCAACAATCAGTTCCAACCTTTATCACCATTGCAGTATCGACAGGATACACTTCCTTTTGTTCAAGCTCCACCACAACCGATATACAATCAGTATGAGCAACAACATCAAGGAGGAGTTCAACAACAACCCTTGGCCGATATGATTGCAGATGCGGTAAGGGAACAGTTTGGAATTAAACCTAAAGACAGTGGGATCATGTATCAGCATCCATATCCAGAATATTTTGACAGAGTACCATTGCCAAACCGATACAAGATTCCAGACTTCTTAAAGTTTTCAGAGCAAGATAATGTGACTACATATGAGCATATTAGCCGATTTTTGGCACAATTTGGTGAAGCATCGGCTATCGAGACTCTGAGAGTTAGGTTTTTCCCTCTATCATTGTTTGGATTGGCTTTCACTTGGTTTTCTTCTTTACCATAAAATTCTATCAGATGTTGGGCTAATCTAGAGAAACAATTCCATAAATACTTCTTCAGCAGTGTTCAAGAAATGAAGTTATCAGACTTGACTGCAATCAGGCAGAGGGCTGATGAATCGGTTCCAAATTATATTCATAGATTTAGAGATACAAGGAATAGATGTTTCAGTTTAAATTGATTAAATTACAACTAGTTGATTTAGCTTTCCAGGGATTGATTGGGCCAATAAGGGAGAAATTTTCATCTTAAGATTTTGAGAGTTTAGCACACCTTGCTCAGAAGGTATCGGCTCATGAACAAATATTCCAGGAGGTTAAAAAGGTTCAAGAAAGTCAATTATGTCTATAGTTGTGTTTCAGACTCAGATGATGATCAAGACCCTGAAATCAGCTTGGCTGAGTGGTCTAAGGTCAAGAAGACAACTATGTGTCAATGGGTCAAGGATACAAACAAGGAGGAGAAATACGACTTTGACATTAATAAAGCCGATAAGATATTTGACTTATTGTTGTAAGAAAAGCAAATTCAATTTCCAATAGGTCATGTTCTGCCATTGGCTGAAGAGCTGAAGAAGAGGAAGTTTGTAAGTGGCACAATACAGGATCTCATCATACTAATGAGTGCAAGATGTTCAGACAGCAGATTCAATCGGCCATTGAGCAAGGAATGATTAAGTTTGATGACGGCAAGATGCCGATAAAGATTGATGGACATTCTTTTCCTGTAAACATGGTGCATGCAAAGGTTGATAGCAGCAGATTGATCAACAAGTACCAGAAGAGGCATGACAAGCAAGTCCAGAGGAATTATCAGAATTTTAGACATTACCAAGATGATAGACACTATCAAGTTGATGATTATTATCAAGAAGAAGAATATTATCTAGGTGACAAGGTTGATCCTCATTGGAATTTCGACTTCTTTAGGTTTTGTTGGAATGAAGGGATGAGGTTGCCATCAATCAGTAATTACCCTGGATGCAGTGGGTCAAGTTGTTATAATCAATCTGGATAGGGTAAAGTTTTCAATCATATGGGAATCGGCTAGAACCCAGGAGATTAGTCCATGAAAGATTGGGGCCGATTCGTCAGAATAATTTCGAAAATCAAGTTAAAGATGACCAGGTTGATCAAGCTCAGAATTCTCAATGGTGTGTGTGTTAACAGTGAAATTTGGTAAGCCCCGAAGTCATCATCGTCCTAAAGTTAGTATTGGCTTCAGAGTCCTGGAATTGGCCGATAAGAATTATCAAGCCACCAATAGTTGGATTATTGCTATATTTGGTTAAGGAAATCAATTAATTAAAGGAAGTTTATCCAGAAGAGACCGAGTTTAAGGAGGATGCGGCATGGCATTTTATCTATTAATTAGGAAGAGTTTATTAGTTTCCTTTTATATTTAGGAAAGTGTGTTTAGTGTACGATAAGGACTTTATGTTTTCCTTTTATCTTTAGGAATGTTTCTTTCTTGTCCAACAAGGACTAGTATCTGCCCATGGGTATAAATATGTACACCCCGGGGTTATGTAAACTATCTCAACGATCAATACGACTATTCTCAGCGCATTGCCACCCTTTTTACCGAGGTTTTTACTTATCATCCGGTGGAACTTAGCACCTGACGCGGGGCTGCGTCGGCTTTCGATCTCCAGTGAAGGGGTAAGTCCTACGTTCTGCCGGCCCTAGCAATTGTATTGGCTTCATCGGCATCATTCAAGGTTGCATCAGTACATTCGACCTCTTGGATTGCTCTGATTCGGTTGATATATTCACCTACCTATTTATCATATATCTTAGTTAATCTAGTTTGGTAGTTCAATTTACTTGTATCGGCTAAGATTCGTTTTAGGGTTTGTGCCGGTATCGGCTAAATTGCTTTACCAGATTATATTGGCTAAGATATCTACCACCCTGAAAATCAGTCAAATGCTTGATTGTCTAAATATTATGTTTCTTTTCATACTTAGTGCTGCATCAGTTAAGTTTGATCTACTAACTCGTGCTTAGAACCATAATCTCTAGCCTGCTTCTAGATTACCAATAAGGGTTTCATCAGAGTTTCAGCCGATGAGGTATCTAGACATTGCATTGACTTATAAGGATTGCATACAAGTTGGATTTAGCCGACGACAATAAAGGTTTTACTGTTTGACTAATCATTTGGATTTAATGACATAGATCCTCCAGCCGATGTATGCTTTAACCTTCGGATTAGTGTTTATTCTATCATATCATTATTAGCCGATTGGTTTCCACTAGATTATATTGTTGAATTATGTTGATTAACAACAGTTGATTGCCTTTATATGATTATTTACTCAAGCGTCAGATTCTGCATTGGACATACAACCGATTGCTCAAAACCCTATCAGCATCGGCTAGTATCGGCATCGGTTGAAATTACTTCATCAAATTGTCAGCCGATTGGCTCATTGATCTGCTATTTTTATATCTTGTCAGTTTCAAGATCAAACTGACTGGCATGTCCGTATCTCATCAACCTTTGGACCTGCACTGGAGCTAAACAGATATCCCAGGCCATTGTGTTCGTCGACTTAGTTCGCGCCAACATAGATCCGGCACCATCGGCCGAGCGTGGATTTTTCGTCAACAAAGTGATATTTTTACAAAAAAAAAAAAGTCAGAAAAGGAGAGTTCAGAGATTGAGAAACAGGGAGCAGATGCAGGAAGTGGATGAAGAAATCTATCATGTCTGATTTTATTGATGTTAGTATCCTACAAACATAAACAGAAAAACTACATATTACCTCTATTTCATAATATAAGAGATTTTGTACATGTATATAGACAGTCATTCTCAATAAGAAACAATACTGCCCTACGGGCTAAGAACAGAAGTAGATAGGTTACTAGCACTAGCACTCTAGCAGTAGCCGAAGATATTACAGCCAGTTTCTGTTGTACGTTTCAAAATCAACACTAGAACCATTTACCAGTTAAGTTCATCTACTGTGAATCCAGGAAGTTATCCATGTTGATCTTGGTTGTCAGGAGGCCAGCGCTGGTGAGGCCAATCTGCTTTTTGGGGCTGATGAATTGAAGTTCTTCCCTGTAGAATGTAAACAAGTCAAAAGGTTTAATTTGTAAAATGGAAGTGTCGTAATGTTGAACTGATTAAGGCTGTATTTAGTTCCACGCCAAAATTAGAAGTTTGAAGAAATTAGAATGATGTGACGGAAAAGTTAAAAGTTTGTATGTGTAGAAAAGTTTGATGTAACGGAAAAGTTGGAAGTTTGAAGAAAAAAGTTTGGAACTAAACAAGGCCTAAAAGGTAAAACAACATCATTTCAATGGAAACAGAGCACGACAAAAACAAAGTAAACAGAGCATTGATGTACTCAAGTTTCTAACTAGAAGCTGCCTAAAAAGTTCAGGTAACTTTCCAAGATATATAGGTGAAGAACTTGGAAACAGAAGTCAACAGCAATTGAACTATCGGAAGGAAATCTGATCTCAAAGCATTTCATTTATAGTAATATATATGCAAGGAATGGCAATGTAACAGCAATTTAACACATTATTTACTTTAGTATCAGAAAAGAAATCTTTTCAGGAGTAGGTTTTTTTTAGGGACCAAAGGCCATTAGGCCAGGAATTGAGGAGTTAGTTTCAAATACAAAGATGTTCAATTTCAGTAAACGAGGAAACATATGAACTGAATTACCTACATGAAGATGTTCACTTCGGAATAGCGCCACAGGAGAATACAACTGTTTGTCGACAACGACAGGGAATGAACTGGTGGTGGGCACAGGAGTTACTTTCAAATTGAAGTTGACTTGGCGTTGTGCTGGCATGCAGTGGTGACCCCGATCAACTTTTACTTGTGCTACAACATCCTGCAGTATCATGTGTGATGAAGTTAATTCATGAGAATAATTTTACAGTTCTTGGGGATGTACAAAGATTTTCAGCATTAATTTGTGGACTAAGACTGTAGTATTGGAGAGGTACCAGCTTCAACTAAACTAATGAATACAACAGAGGCCCTGTTTAGTTCTAAAGTTTTTTTCCAAACTTCCAACTTTCCATCACATCAAATCTTTCATACACACAACTTTTCAGTCACATCGTTCCAATTTCAACCAAACTTCCAAACTTCAGTGTGAACTAAACACAGCCAAATTCAACTCTTGACAGATAAAACAGTAGCTAAGTTACCTGATGCAGTCTCTTCTTGGTAGGAGCTGAGCTGAAGTGACCATCATCAGCCTGCAGCTTCAGCACTTGCTGCTGCTGTCCCTGCACCTCCATGGCAGCACCCGAGCTTACCGGTGCCTCTGCTGCGGCGGCGCTCCGCGTCTGCGTCTGGTAGAAGACCTTGGAGAGGATGAGCTCCCCTTCCTTCTCGTCGTCCAGCTCGCCGAGGTGGTACTGGTGCATCACCCAGCTGGTCTTCTCCGCCTTGCGCTTCTTGCCGAAGCTGGTGTAGAGCACCAGGATCTTCTTGCAGCCCTTGGGCTGGCCGCGCACCGTGATCTCCCGCGTCTTGCCGGTCTTGTGCCACCGTGTCTCCGCCGCCGCGACATTTCTGCCCTTGCTGGCCTGTGGATGGTCGTCAGGCTGCTGATCAGCCAGGACCTTCCTCCGCTTCCTTGTGCCAGTGGGGTAGGCCTTGGCTGACCGGTGGAAGAAGTGCTTGCTCAGGCCATCCCTTGTCACACCTGTTTTTGGTGATCACAGATACAAGTTACTCCAGTACTCCAGTCACAAAAACATAATATACTATTGTTTTAGACATCGACAAAGCCTTCGATATGTAGTTTTGATCACTAGTTTCAATGGTAGCTAGAACATTCGGAAAACCCTGCGAATTATAGCTAGACCACCCGTTCTTTTCTCCAATAAGAGTTGGATGAAGATTAAGATTTTCGTAGCACGCTTTTCAAACTGCTAAACGGTGTGTTTTGTACGAAAACTTTCTAAATGAAAGTTTCTCTAAAATATCATATTAATCTATTTTTCAAGTTTATAATAATTAAAACTTAATCAATCATACGTTAATACCACCTCGTTTTACGTAAAAAAAACTTAATCTTTATCTTCATCTACATCTTCATGAGAAAAGAACACTTTTCATGACGATATACTTTTCAATGTTAATATATATTATATACATATGTGTTCTCTTCATATATCCAATCCAATGCTGTGCAAAGTTTTTGAAGTTGGGCTTGAAACAAGTCTGAAACGACATGTTTACATGGCCGCATTAACTATAGTCATGATTTTGTAAATTTGGTGGTGTCAACGCCAGCTACTATATTTGCTCTGTTTGGAGTACGTCGAGATTCATGTATTAGAATGATGAGTGGCAGTTCATCTGATCAGGAAATTAAAGAGTGAAGCCTTACTAACAATTTGGAAATTTTTAGAAGGACCAAATTCCCACCATGATGAGAGATAGGTGATTAAAAACAAAAACTAAAAATATTCAGGGACAACAATCTTGCATATATAGGCAGTTGGTATCTCTATGCACAGCCAAGGCCTATATAGGCAGTTGGTATCTCTATGCACAACAATCTTGAAAGGGAAATTTATCAACATAAGTTGGCGTGCCTTGTTTAGTAAATGCATGCAATCTAAATAGTTAGGAAAAGGGTTTCAATTCGACAATATATAAATGTTGTATCACTATGCTGGTTGGCTATATCCTAGGAGAGAATTCACACATGCAAATAACACTGGAGCTGGAAAATATAGTACTATCTTTTAATTAATCTGGTCGATAAGGTTACCTTTACATTCATATTTAGAGCCTAATGCTAACCGACTAAATCACAAACCGACATTCACAATACAGCTCATTAATAGTTAACATAATATCCAAAAGTTTCTCTCACTAGCTAAGTTATGAAGTACACTGAATCGAACTAATCAACTTTCTTTTGACTTCTCCTACCATACCGACATACTCCATATAGCTGTGATCTAAACACATATATCTAGCAAGTAAATTTACATTTGGATTACTCCATGCCGACATAACATTTTTACAGCTATCCAACCAGGCTACCATGCAGCTTCCATTATAAAGTCAAATTCAAGTTGACTTTGCCATCTTAAGGAAACAAAATTAAACACGCAGCACACCAAAATGATATATGTGATCGAGATTTCACAAACCGGGCAGGTTCTCAGGATGTGTGTAGCAGATGCCATCTTCTCCTTGAATGGTGTGTATGAACTCATCGATGAGAGGGTGCGATGTTGAGCCGCCATCCTTCACCTTGGCCTCCAGGTGCTCAATCAGCTCCTGGTCCGTCGGATCGAACCTGACGCCGGCAGGCATCCCAACCATGTCGAACTGCAAAATGCATTTGATACAGTAATTAACTAATTAACTAACATCAGATCGAAGAGAGGTCGATCGAATCCATTATTGCAGTAATCAAGAACAAACAATCACAAGCCTCATGTTGGTTAATTGATTGTAGCAATGCATGCGTGCACCTACCGGCTTGTTGCAGTCAGGGTCGTGGCCGCAGCTGGGGCACCGCCGCGACGACGCTCCGGTGCTCGGCCGGTGATCGCCGTCGTCGTGCTTCATTCCAATGCTTCCAGAGGCGCCGTCGCTGCTCATTCTTGCTTGGATCGACCCTGCGCCCATTCATATACGTGGATCGTGTATTAGTTAGTAGTAAAAATGTGAAATGATAAATCAGGTTGATTATTGCTTGGATCCATTTATATACACCAGAGAGGGCGGAATTCAATTAATTCGTGCAACTCACGAGTTAAGGGAAACCGTCAGCAGGTCATCAGGTATAGTGGACTGGCCCACTTAAGGGTTGAAAATTTTGGAATGAAAATTTCAGAATCTTTCATCTTTTGTAAATGTTTAGCATTTTTTTTAGAAAAAAAAATTGACCAAAGTTTGTTCAAATTTCAAATTATCTTCGTGCCCCAAAAGAGAGGGCCAAATCAAAGTTTAATTTTGAACCCTGGCCCACCTGCATCCCTATGGCTCAGGTGCATGCGCAGATGCGCTCCATCTCATGTATCTCTCTCTCTCTCTGACAATCACCTCTATGGTACTAAATCGAAATTAAAATTTATAATGTTATGGAGTGTAAAAATGGTTCGAATTCAGTTAACAAACTTAAACATATGCTAAAAATTCGTGACTAATGGACCTGTTCACTGCCTAAATTCCGAACTGGCCGCTAGCGTGCGTTACAGTACAAAAGATTTATTGCTTCGCAAGAAAGCAACATTTATTTATCGAAGAATTACGGACCCAGAAATGGCATATTTACAAACGAAAAATAATTTATAAATGAAAATTTTCTATACGTGTTTTTAGCGATCTAAAAGTAAAGACTGGAAAATAAACTTCGATGAAAACACCCTAAAATTAATCCCAAATTTAAAGTCAAAAATTTAAATTATAAGCAAGTATAAGAAAAAAATAAGGACCTTAAACTTTATAAACTACTACTGCCTCCGTCAAAAAAAAACCCAAAAGAGTCATAAAACTATCCAAATTCATTATATTAGAAGGGATCGCATCCCCTCCTAACTTGGCTTTTTTAACAGAGAGTACAATCTACTCCCTCTATCTAAGAAATACCTAAATTAAGGAAGAGATACAACTTAACATAACGAATTTGGACACACTAGGTTGTGTCGTATCCTCAATTCTTTTTTTTATACGGAGAGAGCATGCAACGATCAGGAAAAAAAATAAAAAAAGAACGAAAGGAAAAACCGCTTCTTATCAGCAAGATCTGGGAGGGATTAAAAGGCGCGCAAATGAAATTCAAAATGCGATTCAAACACACACACACACACACATACAAGAGACATGGCATGGCACTATGGCAGCACGGACATTACACATCGATCAAGACGTGGATGAAGCAAATTAATTAATCACAGCAAGCAGCAGGAGAGAAGGGGAACTGAAACTAATCATCGATGGCCAACTAATAACCAAACCAATAAACCAACCTTGGTTGAGCTCGATCTGATGAGACTGAGAGGCTTAATTTGATCGAAGAGGGGAGAGATCTAAAGAGATGGAGAAGAAATTGGGGAGGGAGTTAAATTTGAGAGAGAGCACTTTTTGAAGGGTGTGGCACAAGAAGAGAATAGTGCTTTCTTCCGCTATATGGGCACGGGAGCTTCCTTGCAAACCAAGCTATCCCCGGACAGCTGGTGGGCCCCATCTGGCAGAGGTCCTACTTCCTAGCTGGCTTTGATTGGCTTCCCCTACAAGCTGCTGCACGGTAAGCGCCCACGTCACCTCCCACGAAAATCAAAATAAAGTATTAAAATACTAGACGCTCTCCTGTTAACGCGCTCCCCTGTTAACGCGTTCGCACCGTGTACATACATACCGTACATCCCTACATGCCCAAAGTGGTTTTCATTCAATGCGATTTGCATGGCTGCTTGTATGTACATTGGGAAAAGAAAAAATTAAGGCCTTATTGGGATGGGCCTCATACGATCCTAGGATGGGCCAGAATTGATAGTTTGATATAGGAAAAAGTACACCGAAGGTCCCTCAACTTGTCATCGGGATAAAAAAACATCCTCAATCAGCAAAACAGATATGCGAGGTCACTTAACTAAACAAAACCGGTCACAACAGGTCCTCTGCGGTTTTGATCCCGGTTTTATCCTACGTAGCTGCTGAGTCAGCGTTGGACCCACGTGGGCCCCACATGTCAGCCTGTCCAGGTCAGCCTCCTCTTTCTTTCCCCTCTTCTCTCCTTTCCTCTTCTCTCTCTCTCTCTTCTTCTCTCTGGGGCAACGGGCAGGACGGCGGCGCCGGCTGACGGGTGGGGAGGAAGGCGGCGGCGGCGTCAGCCTCCTCTTCGTGCTCGCCGACGAGGAGGAGCAAGGCGGCGGCGGCGGGCGGCGGGGGGAGCAAGGTGGCGGCGTCAGCCTCCTCTCCGTGCTCGCCAACGAGGAGCAAGGCGGCGGCGTCAGCCTCCTCTCCGTGCTCGCCGATGAGGAGGAGCGGCGGGCGACCGCGGCGGCGGAGCTGGAGCCACACGCGCAGCCGGCGGAGGCGCGGGGAGGCGGCGAGCTCGTCGGCTTGGCGGTGGCGGCGAGGCGAGGCAGCCCGCTAGACCTAGCGTCGCGGCGGTGCCGCCGCCGCCGACGACAGTCCTCCTGGACAACGTCCTCGCTGCCTCGCAGACGGAGATCTGGATCAAGACCGGGATGCCGACGAGCACCCTCACCAAGCACCTGCGAGGCCTGCCGCTCCTGCTCGCCCGCCGCCATCCTCGTCGCGTCGTTTTCCCAACCGCCGCGCCGCTTCGCCATCTTCGCCGTCTTCGCCGTGCCGCTCCTCTCCTTCCACTTCATCTCCACCGGCGAGTAGATCTCCACGCCGGTGAGGTTGGAGGCGCGCGGCGTCATGGCGTTGGACGCGCCGTACGCTCGGGACACGCCGGAGCGCGCCGCGCCGCCGCCCGTGGTGGAGGTTGACGCGGAGCAGCGGATGACGGCGTGGACTCGACCGTCGCGCCCCGCCTCGGCGTCCGCCTGCAGCGCCTCCCTCCCGTTGAGCGAGACGACGTCGGAGTCGACCCGGAACGTGGCGATGCTTGCGTCGACGTCCGGCGGGAACTGCTCGGAGATGATGGTCGTCACCTGTCCGCTCCACCGACCCACCTGCTCCTGCGTGGCCGCCGCCGCATCGCCGGTCGCCGGCCACCGCCGCCGATCCTCCTCCTCTCCCGTCTCGCCCCGTCGACTTCCTCCCCAACACGCCGGTCAGCCTGCCTAGGAGAAAACCGAGAGAAGAGGAAGGGATAGATGATGTGGCACTCTAGCATGTGGGGCCCACGTGGGTCCCATGCTGACTCAGCCACCACGTCGGACAAAACTAGGTTCAAAACCACCAAAGGACCTAAAGCGAATGGTTTTGATAGTTAAGGGATGCCCGGTATCTGGTTTTGCGATTGGGGGATGATTTTGTATCTCGATGACAAGTTAAGGGACCTTGGGTGTACTTTTTCCTTTGATATATCCATCCATCCATCCAAAACGAAGCTAAGTTAAAGAGCATCACCAATAGCAAGCTAAATTTTAGTTTTTAGGAAACCTAAATAGAATTTTAGGTGTAAAAAATAATTAGTATCTCCATCTCTTGGTGATGGCCAAAAATTGAAATTAAAAAAGTAAAAAATGAGCCCCCTACAAACTAGAAATCACCTTTTTCTCCGCGTTAGTGAAGAACGAAGAATCGCTAGCGATTCTGTTGGACTCGGTTTTTTGAAAAAAAAAAAAATCCCCAACCTCAATGATTGGGAATCATATATACAGATAGTAGATACTGTTCATGATGTTATAAGGTCGAGTTTAGTGTCAAACTTTTCCTTCAAACTTCAAACTTTTCCATCACATAAAACTTTCCTACAGACACGAAACTTTCAACTTTTCCGTCACATCGTTCCAATTTCAACCAAACTTTCAATTTTAGCGTGAACTAAACACACCCTAGGAGGTACAGCATGGGAGTGAAATTAGCAGCAGGAATCGCTTTTACATCAAATGAATGGATCACATAAAAGGGAGTAGGGCTTAACTGACCAAATAGACGGTGTGGTTTGTTTAATCATGGTTCATCTATTGAGAGATACAACATGAAATACATAAGTGTTACGAGGTTGCCGATGATCCAAATCTTTCACCAGGTTAACCCCACACAGCAGTACAAGAAACTTCCCATGTGCCGCCACAAAGGCTTTCGTATCATCAACCGAAGTACATGTCTCTGGACTCTGGCTTCCTTTCCAAGTATTCTATTTCCTTGGATAGGAAGGAAAAGAACAAGAATTACCTGGTACATGGGAGAAAATGCATAGTAAGTATTAACTGAATAAATAGCATATGTTAGTAATTAGAAATTGCCACGCTTTTTCTTTCCTTCTGTTTTTGCAACAAGGCCCAAATGAGGGGGGAAAATAGGTAAATGGGTTTCGTGTCAAACAGCCTTCTGGACTCACAAAAACTATTGCAGGCATTCCTTCCTGTACTAGCAAACCTATTCCAAACCTATTCCAGGGTAAGCCTTTCAATTTATTTCCCAGTAAAAATATCACAAGTGCCATCACAATGTTTGCCAAAAACCAGTGGCATCATGTTCATGTCAAATAAACCCATGTAAAACAGCAATTGAATTCACCACAAGAAAATTAAATGTCATTTCGTTTGTCCCAAAATTATTAGTCCTAAACAGTTAATACTAACTACATTAACTATCATAAGAAAATGAAAACAGCAAAACATATTAGGAAACATCAATTGTACCTCATGAATCTACAGCAATTGGAGTCGGAACGGAAGCTTCATCTTTGGATACTTCAGCCATTGCATGGGCACGGATGTTAGTTAACACTGGCATCTCCTTCTCCCTCCAGATTGCATGAACTTCGTCCGTTCGGAATCTTTGAGTAAAAGTGGACTCCTCTAGGGGAGTGGTCATGCCATGTGCGTATGCCAGTAAACCAGTGTATGCAATCATTGCCCCGTTGTCAATACAGTATCGATCATCGGTTGCGAACAGCCTACCCCCTCTTTCTGAACACATTATCCTCATCATCTCTTGCAAACGTTCATTGCACCCAACACCACCAACAATAAGAACATCCTTCGAATCACAATGTGCCATGGCACGCTCAGTGATTTCAACAAGCATAGCAAAGAGAGTTTCCTGGACAATTGGCCATTATGAATCTTAATTAGAATAGCATATTCATCTGTATACTTAACTAGAACATATTCCAGGACAAGAATATTAACTAGAATTACAACAACGTTACTATTTATGTTAGTTGCGACACACATGTACCTGCAATGAGTAGCATAGATCTGCAGGCGTGCACTCATTATTTTTAAGCTTCTCAATTGCTGTAGCTTCAATGAAGCTCAGTATGCCACTAAATGACACGTCCATACCCTTTACAACATAAGGGAGATCAATGAACTTCTCTCCCTTCTTCGCAAGCTGAACAAGGAAAGACATATAATACATTGGATAAGCATGAATCAGGGAAAAGGATTGGGTACGTGGTAGAAAATCGCAATGGTAAAGATAATTTTTTTCTTAAAAAAATGTAAAAGGAGCTAGTAGAACAGGTTTGACACAAATGGGAAGCTTCATTTTCTAAATATGTTAAACTGCTAAAACAAGAAAGGTGACTTATAAGTTAATACAGAGTACAGTACAGTTTATCAATGTACTTCTGCACATCACACAAGCAATAGAAGAGGCAATGAATGAAATATAGACCGACACAACTTGATCAAGATTTTTCTTTGAGGCTGATGGCCATAACGTTACCGAGTATACTGAATAAGGCTTAACGTTACCAAGCATTCTAACACTTTAAAGTTATTTAGAAATAGAATGGAGCTACTGCATGCATGTTATTTGTGCTTACTTTGCTAAATAAAATGGCATGAGTGGATATTTGTAAAATGCAAATTTGTGACAAGAATTCTTTACAAAAATAGAACTGATTTTCATACACAATTCAACTATTGAAGGCACAGGCAGAACACAGACAATTTCATCACGATTATCCTTTACGACTCATGTGGAGAAAAATAATAAATACATAATTCTGCCTCTAAGTCTCAATAATGGTCAAGAGTATCTGAGATGTCTGCACACAGACAGCTGCAACATGCCTTTAGAGAAGGTTGGCCTGAATTGTCAGATTATACAGGCCAGGAAAGGGAGTAGCAGCAGCAGTATACATGCCAGGAAAGGGAGTAGCAGCAGCAGTGAACAAGAAGGAATAGTCCATAAAGCTCCCAACTGTTTGGGCAAGCTTCAGGTTGAAGTAACCTATAGCCCCAAGTTGAAGTTGAAGCTTGGGCCAAACAAATAAGGAGCTACATGGGCTTTTCATACCATCTTAATAGTGAACACTCCAAATAAGCTAAAGCAGGCTTCATTATTACCAAACATACCATGATTATGTCAGCCTAATATCTAGTAATGATTAAATTTTAGACATACTAATTTTTTCTTTTAAAAAAATGATGTTCCATGGAACATAACTTTTATTCTAATGGTCTGCATAAATTTAGGGGACATCATGTAAATCTAGGACAGGCAAATGGATGTAGACGTGAGTGTTGATAGAATACCAGGACAACCAATATAATGAGAAAAGAACAAAGCTTAAATGTAAGATCTCTCCAATCAATGTTATATCAAGAAACCACTTATTCCCTCTAGTTCTATACTTCTTGACGTTTTGGACAAGGTCGAGGTCAAACTTTTTTAACTTTGACTATCAATACTTTTAAAATCTTTAGTTTAAAGACACTAGAACAACATATCTTGTCTTACAAAGTACTATAATAAAAATAAAAATATATTTATTGTATATAATATAATAGAAAAACATAGTCGAAGATATATTTTGGAGGCCGTGTCAATGTCCAAAACGTCAAGAATTATGGAACCGGAGGGGGTAGTCATTAGAAAGATGGATAATATTGAATCAATCCAAACACCAAATATTATCCACACTAATATCAATTATCCTTCTGAACACTATTAAAGGAAGCTATACACCAGTTAGCAGAACACATTGAGCTCAGCTAGAACAGGTACCAGAGAATTATTGATTTGTGGTGCTTGTAGTAGGGGCAAGATAGATTGGGCTGTGTTCAATACTACACTTTCTCATCTTCTACTCCTTCGTTTTCCGTGTGCACGATTCCCGAACTGCTAAACTGTGCGTTTTTTGCGAAAAAAAATCTATTGTAAAGTTGTTTTAAAAAAAACCATGTTAATCGTTTTCGTGCGGGGAAGAGAAGTTCCCAACTACTCCTAAACACAGCCTAGCTGTGTTCGATTGGGGGGACTTGGGAACCCTTCCCCCGGCACGCAAAACAAAGTGACAGATTAGCGCATGATTAATTAAGTATTAGCTAAAAACTTGAAAATGGATCAACATGGATTTTGTAAAAAGCACACCATTTAGCAGTTTGGGAAGCGTGCGCGTGGAAAACGGGGGAGCAGAAGTTGGGAAAATGTAGTATAGAACGCAGGCTAAGTGTACAATGTTTCTGGTTGAAAATATTGTACAGGCCATAAGAACATGTGAACTATGCAGGCTTCATACAGTCCATTTCTTTTATGTAGTATCATCACGTATGGCTACATTCTCCTATTGTGCACAAGTTATTGACACGTATTTAATAACTTGTGCTCCTTCTCACTCACATAAATTAGCTCATACAGGCAACCAAACAACATCTATGCACATTTGTGACAACTTCATATAGTTGACCAGACAAAGTGCATCTAAAAAGGCAGCTTAGCTTGCACCATCTCAGGATGAAGCCATATATGATCCCATACCAGTTTTAGAGCTTCAAGTGCTAAACAATCATGAATATAGTAATCCTAACTGTAAATTGAAAACATGCCTATTTTTGCTTTTAGTCAAAAAGGATTACATTTCGGTTGGTTTTTTAGTTACCTTGAAAGTACTAAGACAATGTCTGATGGCCCGCATGAGCTACTTTGTGTAAAGGAGAAGAAGCACAAGTGATTGCATAGACTGAATAAAACAACGGGAAATGCTGCAACATGATCACTCTGGACACATGTTACAAGGTTGGATGTGCCAAAAAAAAAGGCTGTACAATCCATTCAACCAAACATACCCCATCATTCCATCCTATACACTGGGCTCATATGGGTGCAACCTATTAGCAACTTAGAGTTGAAAAGTTTAACCATTCCAATGAATAGGTCAACTTCTCAATGGTAGCCTGGACCTAGGATCGATGAACACCTCACAGAGAGCAGAAATCCTCCATAACAATTCCTACTATCTAATCATCCTGTTCCTACTTTATCCACACTAGTCACCACAATTTAGGCCATTTCAATCACCAATTCAACAGCACTTCAATGGCATATCCATGAAAGTGGTGCATTGATTTAATCAAAATGGCAGAAATTAAATCAAAGTAAAGTTGCACATACTGACAGGCAGCTACAGCCATAGCAACATCAGACGGGAGGTAGGAAATATCAAGTCGGCATTTGATCGAACACATTACCTGCTCGATGTTATACCCAGGGCTAGGATCATTGGACAGCTCAAGCACCCTGGCAAAGCGATCGAGGCAGTTCCCCACCGCGATGTCGATGGTCTCGCCGAAGATCCTGTACCTCCCTTCGCTGTACGCGATGACCTGCGTGTTCCCGCCGGAGACGTAGAGCACGACGGGGTCGACGGCGCCGGTGACCGCGCGGCCCATCTCGACGTGCGCGACGCAGTGGTTCACGCCGACGAGCGGCTTCCCCCAGAGCAGCGAGAGCGCGCGCGCCGCGGCGGCGGCGACCTGGAGCGGCGCGCCCATCCCGGGCCCCTTGGTGTAGCACACGCAGGCGAGGTCGGCGGGGGTCACCCCGGCCTCGCCCAGCGCCGCGCGGAGGAGCGGGAGGAGGTGGGCGAGGTGGTGGTGCGCCGTCTCCCGCGGCAGGAAGCCGTGCCCCGGCGGGGTGACGTAGGTGTGACGCGGGTTGGAGAGGATCTCCCCCGAGAGGGAGACGACGCCGATGCCGATCTTGTTCGCCGACGACTCCAGCCCCAGCGCCAGCGGACCCGGCGGCCGGCGCCTCGCCGCCGGCGATGACGTCATAGCTGCGGGGGCGGCGGCGACGGTAGGGTTTTGCAGCGAAGTGAGGGGACACGAGAGATGAGACGAAACAAGTGTAAGCTGCGGACTAAAAGCGGGCCGAAACGAAGAACGAATTGGGCCCTTAAGCCCAAAATATTCTCGACCCAAAAAGAAGCCCAGAATATTATCGGCCCAATAGCCCATTGGTGAGCCGTCTCCTCGGCTTCTTCTCCACCTCTCTCTCTTCTCGAGGCGGGAAATTCTAGCGCGCATTGGGGAGGGGAAAGGGCGCGGCTCCCGCGCTATTGAAAGCCCCAACGCCAAGAACCCTAACTGCTCACTGCTGCGCTGCCGTCCACCGACGCATTCATCGCCGGCGATCACTAGCAGAGGCACAAGAGGAGGAGGTCAGTTCAGTTGTAAAAATGGCTTTCTTTTCTTTCTCTCTTTCTTTCTTTCTTTCTTTTTAATCAATGGTCCCAATCGGATGTCGCTGTTAACTTGCCATGGAAGATGATGGATTTGGTCGTTTGTGATTGTGGTTGTGCAGATCCCCTGGAGTTGCTTCCAAATCCGCTGGGTGGATTTCAGATGATCCAAGCCATTTCTTGATTTCGAAGGATCAGATTAAGCAGGTTAGTTCTTCCCCATCTGCAGAATGAGTGCGCAAATCATACCGAATTAATTACTCTCTCGCAGGCACATCAATACATTCAGACCTATACCGCTTGGTGACATTTTTATTGTATCATTGGGGTATTATAATAAATAGTCCTTCATTGAAGAATAAACATCTTGTGTGAAAACATACCTCATTTGGAAGCAGATTAATACGAATAGTTATATATTTATTTTCTAGAAAATGTGAGTCTAATGTTTCCCGTAATCGATTGGATATGTCATTAGCAGATCAACGTCATAATGGTCCTGAAGCTAGGGGATCTGATGTTTATTGTATTGTAGAATGCTGTTTATAGTGCTGTGTTTATGGAAACTCTGATACTTTATGTTAATACTTTTATAGTTTCATCTGTTCCATAGATTAAAAAAAGATATTCATATGTTCTGAAGTGAATTACTTTCTAGTACAACTATTAGACCTTTTTGTTTATATATGATTTTTTTTCTTCATTTTGCTAAATTATACAAGTACGGTTTTTAGATGAATTGGTTGTTAACGTCAGTGGTCCCTGAATTTTAATTAAGTTGCCACCCCATCAACTCGTTAAGTAATTTGCTTCTTGCATTCCTTTGTTTCCCTAAAAGTATCAAAATTATTTTGATAGGAATGGAAAGGTACTTTAAACCTATAAAAAAAACTTCTGGGACCAAAGGGGATGTAGCAGAAGATGAGAATCCTAAAGCAGAGGTAGCAAAGAAACCTCGTGTAGGTATTGTTCTTAATCTGGATGATGTTGTTGCTGATCCAGGCCTCCGTAGGCCTATTGAGGAATATGATGTGGGAATCAGAGATCAGGTGAGAACAAAATATCTGCTTATGGGTCCATGTCAACCAGCCGGTCACAAATTTCCTAGGAAGCAGCAGGGAGATGGTTCAAGGAGTTTTATCGAAGCGTGGTTCAAGAGGTTTGATTGATTGGAATACAGTGTGGAGAAAGATGCAGCCTATTGTTTTTACTGTTATCTCTTTAAGAAGCCTGGGGTTGGTAAATCTGGGAGTGATGTCTTCTCGAAATCTGGTTTCCAAAACTGGAAGAAAGCATCAGAATCCTTTGCCGGGCATGTTGGTGGAGTTAACAGTATTCACAATAATGCAAGGCGGCGTTGTGAGGATTTCAAAACATCAAGACGAATCGCAACTCCTGAGAGACCTTGCATGAATGCTATTTTGGATGTTGCAAGACTTCATCTGAAGTTGGGTATTGCCTTTTGTGGACCTGAAGCCATTCTTGGAAATAAAGGAAATTTTCTGGAGATGCTTGACTGGTTAAGAAGTTTTTCTGAGTCTGTTGACCATGCATTTAAGGAACATGCTGTTGTTTTCAATGAAATGACTTCTCCAGAGATGCAAGCTATTTTCGTAAAATCATGTGTAGAAATGACCACACAGGTCATTGTTGATGAGATTGGAGATGGTTATTTCTCGGTACTTATTGATACGCCTCACGATACACTGATGGTGGATAGAATGTCTGTTATTGTGAGGTTTGTTAACCGCCAAGGGCAGGTTATTGAAAGATTAATTGGAGTGGAGTATACTACTGGTGATACAGGACCTTTGATGAAGTTAGCTTTGGATGGTTTGTTTGCTCGTCTTGGTCTATCTATTTCTAAACTAAGAGGGCAAGGATACAATGTAGCCTCAAATATGCGAGAAGAATTTGATGAGCTGAAGTCAATAATTCTGAAGGAAAATCCACACGCTTATTATATCCACTGTTTTGCCAACCGGTTCCAGTTGGCGGTTGTATCCATTGCACGGAGCAATAAAGTTGTTGGTGATTTCCTCTATTATGTCGATAAGATTGTTAGGGCAGTGGGTGATTCTTGCAGAACCAAGGATGCAATGCTTCAAGAGCTATATGGAAAGATTAGGGAAAAAATAGTCAGAGGTGATGCTCTACCTAAAATTGGAATGCACCCAGAGAATGACCTTTCAGGTCCTGCTCATACACGTTGGGGCTCGTACAGTACAACTTTACTCAATCTACTTACAATGTGGGATGTAGTGTTGGATACACTAGTGACTATGTGCGACAAGGGTATTTATCCTGAACCAGGAAGTATACCATCAGATATGATAGAACAAATGGAGAGCTTTGAATTTGTGTTTGTCTTGCATCTAATGATACGTGTATTGATCTGGACTGATGATTTGTCATGTCTGCTGGAACGTAAAGGTAAATACATTGTGAACCCATTGGAGTTGATCACTTCTGTGAAAAATATTTTGCAAGACTTAAAGGAGAATCAGTGGGTTGACCTTTTAGAAGAAGTAAAGAGATTTTGTATTCTGAAGTCTATTCCGGTGCCAAGTATGGATGATAGCATACCAGTTAGGGGACGCTCGAGGCATAGGGGGCTAGTTGTTACTTGTCATCAGCAGTATTACGTTGAGACTTTCATTGCTTTGATTGACTTGGTAACTTCTGATATGAACAATAGGTTCAGTAAGACTTTTATGGATCTATTGAGATGTTTTGCTTGCTTTGATCCAGATGACTCTTTCTCCCAATTTGATGTGGACATGCTTCTCAGTCTTGCTGATATTTACTCTGCTGATTTCTCAATGACTGATCGTGAAATTCTCAGAGAACAACTTCACATGTTCATTATCCATGTCAGAAATACTGCTGATTTTTCAAGCTGCAATGATCTTGCAACTCTGGCCCTGAAGATGGTCCAAACTGAAATGCATGTAGCATTCCCACTGGTTTATCGACTCATTGAATTGTTATTGGTTTTGCCAGTAGCAACACCAACAACTAAAAGAGCCTTCTCAGCAAGGAACATCTTTGAGGAAGACTTTTGTGATAACAGAAGTGGTGACTGGTTGAGTGACACGATGTTATGTTGTGTTGAGACAGAGATTTTGGCAGGGATTAAAAATGAAAATATTTTACAGCATTTTGAAAGAACGAGGAGCAAAAGAAATTAAGCCATCTTAGTGGTATGCTTTACGATGTGAATCAAACTGTTGTGTGTTCTTATTATCCAATAGTGCTAAATCTATATGGTTTATTGCCATGTAGGTTGCTTTTGGGCATTTGGCTTTTCTTCAAGATGGTGAAGGTGGGTCATGATGACGTGCGTATATACACTGTTTTTTCCATTAAGAGTTTCGCATGCAATCCACAGTAATGAACCGTTCTCACTAAATGCATGTCAAATTACCATCTTCTCGGTAAGCTGAACTGTGATGCAGTGGCAACGATTATCAAGTGACTTGGTCTGGGAGGAGATTTCTTATAAAAATTAACTGCACAGCTGCTTGAATTGCAATATCATACAACTGTAATCATTCCTTAACTGCAATTGTTCTTTTTATTAAAATAAGTTTTCATTTAACTGCAATGAGGTAGTCCTCAACTGCCTTCCTCCCTAAAGCTAGGGTCCAGTCAGCTGAAATCTTGTTTCTTCAGTCCTTTCCAAAGCTTAGATCGGTCAGCACTATGAGTATTCATCATGTGCACTTGTGAACCTTTGGGATTATCTAAGTACACATAAAGAGGCGGCTTTGGTTCCTTGGAAGTTAGAGCATTGCTTTGTTATATGGTCTACTCCCATCTTGTAGAACTTATGATTCATTGATCAATGATGTCTAGTTCCTCAATCCTCCAGTTTTTAACCAAATGCGAAGTTGACTGTTACCAGTTCTGTCGATTTGCTGATGTACCCCTTGTCACATGACTTGGCATGTTTGTTACCTAATACCTATCCTCACCTGATTTGCCTCCTAAACCATTTGGTTTAAGGCAGCCCGAAAGATCAAACCAAACTCACCATTAGGATATTAAAACACAAGCTATTAAATGTTCCTCAAAACAAAATATTGTTCCCCAACTTGTGCATCTATCTGGTGTCTGGATAGTCTTAATGCTATCTCAAGCAGTATCATGTCCATGGCTAAATTGGCAGTATCGCGATGATCGATGAGTCAATAGCATGGAAAGAGCTGAAGCGCAAGTCTGGTTCGAATTTTGGTCACACAAATCATGTCTTGAGTAGTTCCCTATGTTTTTGTCCATCCCTTTTCTTTTTCCTTTTTTCCTTCCTCTTTGCTTCCTTCTGTGTTTCATTTGTTGTTGAAAATCTATTCTCTCTTGGTGCAAAGATACTCAGCTCTGTTGTGTATCCTCTAAAGATATGGGGCATTGGGACCTTGCGTTGATGCTTCATTTTCCTTTTTATTTTGTCATGTTTGTAAATGTAGATAGCTTCAGTTCCTTGATTTGAACATAATATCTCCATAATTGACCCAATCGAAAAAACTTTGATTCCTGTACTATAATCATGCTACTGAAGGGCTGTTTTGTTTTAATTTATTCTTTGCAGTGACAATGTCGAGGCTTGAGTTCTGAATGCTGCTACTGAGATCCTCTATAAGAAGCAATGCATGCTGATGATTGGGTGACTTTTGATGCTGTCTAAATTGTGGACAGTCAAATGTATCGTCTTGATCATATATTCGTATTATGTGTCTCAAGAAGTTTATTAGTATTAGTATTGCCCTGGTAATGGTAATGTAGAAACTAGGAAAAGTAAAATCACTTGACTTCTGAATGTTGCCAAAAAAATCCTCTTTGGATAAATATTGTGCCTGATGCTTACCTTCAGGGCAGAGCTTCATGTCAGCAAACCTGTCGTGTAAGTTTGAGGTTTGATTTCTCCTGATTGTGTTCCATCCATGCATCTGGATTGTGCCTCTTGAGTTTTCGAGCTTCTCCGGTGCTTACAGTTATTTTATATATTCATTTATTCTGCAGAAAATTTCATATTTGGAAAATTCTGCTACGTAGTTTCCGACTATGATGGACTGATGGTGTAATAGATTTTTTTTTTCAACAGAGCAGGAATAACCTTTATAGTATCTCAGAAAAAAAAATAATAGCTGATCATCAAGAGCATGCATTCATATTTTAGCATTTCTTCTGAAGGTCCAGTTCTTGCATGACTTTATATGTTAATCTGTTATGTTCAATGCTTACATTAGTGATAGAAAGCATCACTTTTTTTTATGATTATGTCAACAAATAAAACTATTGCAACACTAGAAAGTACTGTAAGTATCAAGGTTCTTTTCGGCTTGTTTTCGGCTATATGGTAATCTTGAACATTTGCTATGGTATTTTTTTCAAATGATCACTTTTGTCAGTCGAAAACCTGTTGTGATTCTCTAGAAAACACCACCTCTTCCCGTTGATCCTCTGAAGTAGATAGGGTAGAAAGCTGAAAAGAAATGAACAAATGTTCTGTTTCTGAAACTAAAACGAATGTTCCGTTCTGTTGCACAAGACTAGAAATTTGCACGGTTTGACCACGGTCCTTGATCCGCTTTCCCATCATTATTGACCTGAACCTTGATCATTGACAGTATCTGGTTTTTCACCCCTGGAATGTAGAAGTAGAAGAGAAGACACTGAATATGATTAGCATGGCAAAGTGACAAATTAGCTCCTCTTCTGTGGTTTTTGTATCTTAGCTACTCTTCCAATTGGGAATGTATGTCCAGGTGGGATCAAGCAGAGGCTGACCATTGCATCGTGTAAAAAGAATTACTTGCTGCTGTCTTGTAGCTGATCAAGCAGTATTCAAACTTTATACTTAATATGAATTTCTTTACCGCAAAACATACGATTTTTTTAAAATAATCATATACTTAAATTTTAAAAAAGAAACTAATTTCTTGAATAAACCCAAGTATTCTGAGTGCCAATATTCATGAGAACAATGATTTGCCTAAGAACGGTTTTAAGCCGGTGTAGCAACATAGTCTTTCGTAGTTAAAAGGTTCAGATCAAAATAACAAGTTACGGCAGAAATCATTTTTAAAAGTATATTGAAAAAGTTATGGAGAATTTAAAATATATCACCGCAACACATCTAGAATATCCAAATTCCAAAGAGTTCTTCACACGCATACCAAACTCTTCTGGATTCCCTAACCTGGTGAAGCCGGCCCATTGTTATGGACCATGGAACATCTAGACTGTGACAGCAGAAACATGCCATCTTCCTTCAGAAAAAAAAAAAAGCAGAGACAACAAGCCATGCAAATTCTCCTTCCTCCTACATGTCATGTGTCCAGAGCTTTGACCCTATGAATCTGTGATTGTGACAGAAGAAACATCAAGGAGGAAGAGGATTTTTTTTATACATAAAATAAAAGGGGAGGAAAAGGAAGCAACATGGGAAGCAACATGAGGCTGCTGCCCATTTTGTGTCAAGATGACAACTGCAATTGCAAAAGCTGGTCTTTGCATCTGCAATAATAAAACTGAATGGTTGGACGGTTGGTTGGTAGTGAGAGGCGCCGGCGTTTTTCTGCAGCTGCTTTGTTTAGAGAAAGAGACCCATGGTTTTAGATCTCTTGTGTTACTTCTATTAAAATGTGGTGTTCATGATTTTGTTTGCTTTTCTTTCTTTCGTTCAGAAAAAAGATTTTGTTTGCTTCCTTCCGGGTCAAAGTATCACAAGGAAATTTGATACATGAGCACGCTTATCGCCAGACATGTGGGGGAATCAAAAGTTGGTTGTTTTGCTCTGATGACCAATTCTCCAGTACTTCTAAATTCAAACAAAAGAGAGAAATGATTTTGTGGCAATAAAAATATCATTTTATAGTATTAATGGTCTCGAGTATATTTTTTTGTGAAAATTATTTTTGGAGGTAATTGTGATGTAGACTGCGGTTTAAGTTGTACCTGAAAGAGGACCGTGCCTACTTGAGGGAACCGTATCCTCTGACATTATAGAGTAATGTCACAGCGTGATATTCCTTAATCCGCTCCATCCATTCTAAATCAACGGCCACAGATTAATTGCTATCTAACTAATCAAACTAATTAACAGATTGTGTAGGTGTGTACTTAATAGGTGGGAAGGAATTTTTTTTTGTTAGCACTAAAGCAGTCTCCTCATCTTCATTAAACATTAACCCATCGGCTTGTATATTCAGAATTGCGCCGTTCTAACGGAGGATGGCAGCACAAAATTGATGCACATGATTCACTTCCTCCAGGATAATGTGCTAATCGCTCCATCTAACAAGTGAAACCTAATTATCATCATGTGCTAGTAACTTGCGGATTCTTCCACCAGTCAACAACGATGTTTGCCTCTTGAAAATGCAATATTTGATCTAGGGACAATTTATAACTACACAATCCACTAATTAGTTTGATTAATTACATGCCAAATAATCTATGACTGTTGATTTAGAATGGATGGTGTGGATTGAAAGAATGTCACACCGTGACATTATTGTGACATTATTGTGTAATGTCAGAGAATACGGTTCCTACTCGAGGACATTAAGAATTTTGAGTTAAGATAGTTGACGAAATATGGACGGTTAATTAATAATGTGAAAGTGGAACAATGGTCTTCTTGGAATAGAGTACATATGGTCCATCGGTCATGCAGATCTAGATTATATATATAGGCAGTTAATTAATAATGGCTGAAAGAATAAGTCACTATGTTTTTCTTTTGGAGAGCTATTATGTATATTCAGGCATGTGTGCTGAAATGTATGTTTACGTGTTTGTTTTTCCTCGTGTCACATATAAAAATAGATTTTGTTCTCTTAAATAGATGAAATTTGGGCACAACAATAAATATGATTTTATTTTTTACACACTGTTTATGAAATATCAACAAAGAATGAAAAATACACTATTTTTCGCACCACGAGTACGATTCTGCTTTTTTTTAAGTATACTTAATTAACATCTCGCTTTCACTATGGCGTATCTAGATTTCAGTTGCCTGAAACATCGCTGATTTTTTAATGCATCTTCCAATCAGGAATCAAATAAACCTTGAACAAGGCAAGGTTTGCTTCTTTCAAGGCCTTGACGAATGAAACAAAGTCTCTACCTAGTTTCATAATTATTGATGTTTTAAGCAATGATATAGTTTTTAAAATATATTTTCCACTATATTTTTTTATTATAATATATATATATATATATATATTAACTTTCATTATATTACTTTGTAAGATATATATATATATATATATATATATATATATCATTCTAGTGGCTTTAGAATAAATATTTTTAAAGTTATCGATAGTTAAAGTTATAAAATTTGATTTCAAACTAATTCAAAACGTCAGGAATTATAAATCAGAGGAGTACTTTTTAAAAATGAAACTTGACATGATTATTTCCTTGTGTAACACAAAGTAGTCCTAAATTTAAAAAAGAAAAAGAAAAAAAAATTATATTCATATTTCCGAGTATGCTTTTGTAAAAAAAACTATTTTTAAAGGAAATTATCACAAAACTATGTGGATTATGGTTTAAGCTGTACCCCAAGAAAGGACCATGGACAATTAATAAATGTGAAAATGGCACTGTGGTCTCTTGGAAATAGATTATGGTCATGCATATTCTAGATTATAGCTAATTGTCGCAAGAATTAGCTGTTCTTATAGATTATGTGCCACGGATTTATTTCTAGATTTATGGTGTATTTTTGTTTTCTTAAACATATGAAATTTGAGCAATAATAAACTATAATGATTTATTTTTCACTAACTTATCTATTAAATATATTGCATATTCAGCTGATGCGTCCGTGGTTGCACCGCAGCTAGTACCAATAGTGTTGCGCGCACACAGCGGCAACGTAGCCATAGCCGTAGCCACAGCTGCCCGCCTGTCGAACAGGCCTTATAAATGTTTATTAATTCTCTACACTATAAAAAGGCTACCATGACACAAGTACAATTCTGATTTTTTTTTTCTCCTCGAGTACTTAACTAACATTTCACTTTCACCACAAATAGTAAATATTAGGTCACTTATCTGACTTTTGAGATGGGAAACATCGCTGACGTTTTTATGTTTCTTCCAAACAGCAAGCAAATAAGAGCACACCTTCAACAAGGCAAGGTTTGCTTCTTTCTAGACCTCGACTAACACAAGAAACTCTGTAACTCTTTTTTAAAACGCAACTTGATCCGATTAATTAATTTCTAACCCTCACATATACTCCAAGTAATGGCGTTTGTTGCAAGCAGGAACAATTCATAGGAAGACATGTAACGAACAAGAATTTAAAGTTGACATCTACAGTAGTATTTTACTTGGTCTACGAAATGGAATAATTGTACTCCAACTTTGCATTCTCACGGAAACGGCTTCGTTTAGCCGCAGCAGGACAGCATGAGAAATTAAAATAGCAAATTAAACCAAAACGGTTGCATCACTCCTCCTAGATAAATATTCTAGAAAAAACATACTAGATCTTAGAAAAATATACGTTAGGAGCGTCATTCTAATTGATGGCAGTAGAAATTCAATTCTCAAAAGA